TCTGAGGCATAAAAATCTCTGGTCACGTCTTCCTTCGGAAGGGAAGTAAAGCCGTTGGTCCCGGCCCATGTGTGTTGAATGGGTGCGATATCCTACGCAGGTGTGGAAGCTGCCTTCCTGCACATTCGATTACCGTCAATGGATGGCAATCGATGTCCGTCGGTGATTGGCACTAGATTGCGGAACAGAGACCGACGGAATAAAGGAAAGAACAAAGACGAGCTGGTAGAACTTGCTTATCTGAACCCTTTTGACCCGATTTTCTAATTTATTTATTATTGCGGTGTAATGCCTAAGCCCCGTAACGTGGGTAAATCAACTTTTCGTGGTACGTTACGGGATGTATGTAAGGTCTACCACCGATTCATAGTCCTGACTACTTCAAACTCGGCTTTGTCCACCGAAGATAATCTTGAAACAAGGAAAACATGAATTAGTTAGTCTTCATCTATGTTGTTCCCTAGTTTGAAGTGGTTAAGACTAGGGTTCTGATGCATGGTCATTATCGGTGCCATTGCTTAGTTTTGTTGCTAAGGAATTCAATTTTGACTGACAAAGGGGCGTGCCATTGGAGGGTGCTCTCACTCTTCGAAGGGTATAAATAGCGGGACCTTTCAATTAGAATCGATTCACAAACCAATTCCACCAAGGTGATCAATCTCTAAACAGGCCTGATAGGACTAGGACCTGTAATTAATAATAATTGAAATTTCAAAAGAATTAAAGTTGAAAAGACGCATCTGTGTCACTTGATAAGTCATACATGTAAACCACACAAATACAAGAAATATAGATCATTCAAAGTAAAAAAAAAGGCAGAGGCCCATCGCTCACTCATTAGAATCGATTCCTTGCGATGAAGGCAAGAATGAGAACTGTATTAAAACCGAATACTTAATCATTTCTCAATAGTGATGGAGTAATACGACATGCACTAAACTAAGGACACTGGATATAGGGGAAATGGCTTTAATGTTGGCCTATGGATCTAAGATTGGGCCAATCGCTAATAATCTGCTATTTATCAATTTTATCTAGATAAACGCGTCATTGGGACGGTACTAATGGATATTTTTGGTCGCTATTGAAAATTAAGTCGACTGCTGAATTTATGTATGGGCCCAAATTAGGGGTATTTAGGCCGAAATTACATCCATTACCCCTACTACAATAGATCAAATTGCTGGTCGCAGTGCATGCAATGCCTATGAAAATACAAATTGAATAAAGATTAGTTTCTTATTGTGCTTCTTTGAAATCCTCGTGATCATACGTTAACATTTCAATTTAGTTCGACCTCCTAGAACATATTAAATAGTGCGAGTTGTTTCAACCATATCGCATTCGAATGTGTTTTGGTTGAATAAACACCAGCACAAGCTTCTTGAAGTAAGTAGGGTCGTCGGAATTAACGCCAAAAAGAGATCGTTAGGTGTTGTGATCGATTGCGAGCGGGCACTACACAAACCTAAGCCGCTCATCCAAATCAAAATATTTTTATTTATTTTCACTTCTCTTGCAAGATATCTTTTTAGCAAAAATCAAACTGAAATTTGACTCGACACAAAAATGATTCCCTTGCACACCGTTTCCTTGGAAAGAGAAAGTATAGTTTGCTCTCTCTCTCTCTTTACTCTTCACCGATGGCGGCAGACACGAAGCTACTGCTGCCAGCAGTTATGGTAGTTTCGGGTCGCATTCGGATGTAAAGCAAGAATCTTGAAACTGATCGGTGAGATTTGATTTTTTTTATATTTTCTCAACACTGCTCTATATTGTTGTTTCAATAACACAAGTCAAATATTGATACAACTATCAAATTATACATAAAAACCCTTCAAAATGGTGGATCAAGAAAACAAATAACTTGTTTAACTACTCAAAGATATAATTTTCAAAAATCTAAAAAAAAACAGGGTTGTAACTCGGAGGGAACCAACATATCAAAATAAAAAAAGGCGTTTTCTTAGAATATCAAAATAAGCACTTTGGCAAAGTTTGGTTGAAATCGGTGACATTGACCACAACTCTGTATACACTTGAGCTGGAATGACCCATACACGATATTTGCTTGTTGAAGACTCATTGCACTGCATTTATCGAACACCGGTTAATCGATACGACACCATCTAATATGTACCAAGGCTGCCGTATAAATAGCAAAAGTTAGCAGTGCCTGGAAAAAATTCCTTCAAAATGCTGACACCTGACACTGACCACAAAGTGTTTCATTATTCAACGCGACCGGTACATCCGTTAAATCCTTGACATATGTTTACCACTTCAAAAGAGCAAAAAACCTCAAGTCTTCAGCTGGACGCTTCACATGGATTTCCCGGCATTTCATCATTGGATATGCCAGTGGAAATGGTGAAATGGGGTATTAAGGTATGAGTTGCTGCATTATGAATCAGGAATAAAGGAAAGCGAGGGTCACAGAATGCCTTCGTCTTTTATTATTGATTTGGTTCAACCAACGGACATTCATTGTAAATGTTGCAAAACTGCATTCTCTTTGATTATTCACTCAATTGTTCACAGGCTATTCAGATCGCTATTATTGTTAACGTCCCGTATGATGAACAGAGAGATTTCTTTCCAAATAATAAAATGCAACTCGGTGTCGGTTATAAACTATTTATTATGATAAAGAATAATATTTGCGGGTGTATATAGTGCGTTTCTGAGTGTTTCGCCAGAAAATTGCTATTTTATTTGTTGTTGTACATTTTTAAAATAGATTCATAGAATTTCTTTCTTCTCCTATGGTAACTATTTGCAATTATTCAGAATAATTTTGCTTTCAATATTTCTTCTATGTATATTTTGCGTTAGCTTTTCTTGTATAGAGTCAGCGATATTAAAGAGAATGTTGTACTTTCGTGTCGTATTTATTACATATTTTAGCATCATACATTTTGTGTGTGTATATTTGATCTAAAATTTATTCAGTGTTTATGTTACTACATCTCTCGTCGAACACATTTTGGCGTTTCTGAAGTGAAGCCGATCTTACACTATAGAAAGGAAAATTAAAAAGAAAAATGAAAAAAAATCCTCTACTATGTATTAGCAGTAGCATGATTAATTATTCATGAGTCGTAGATTTTTGTTAGTTTTTATCCAAGCAGGAACTTCCATGTAGGTCAAGTAACCATATTGTTACTGTTGTTTGTTCTGAGTATAGAAGTAAACTATGGGATTACGATGTCTTTTTAATGCATTCTTTGGGTGTGTTTGTTTCGGTGAGGATCCGGATTTGATGTTTGTGATGAACCATTTTCCATGGGATGATGTGCAGAGTTTCGACTTTCGGATAGCTTAAACCTATGCTTCGTAGTCTTTAATTTAGTATTGCTCCTTACGCGCTGCAGTTGCTGTGTTTCGTATCCAATCATCAAGTCTTACTCCTTATCAAAATCCAATTACTAGTAATTATTCTGTCGAACGCTGTAAATTTGACGCTAGAAAATTTGGACAATTTACCATTATCTTTGTATCATCCGTTTTCATCCTCAGTCGAACTTCTCAGTCTTACTGGTTTCGATCAGTCAGCTTAAAACTAATGTTTCGTGTTATTTTCGTTTTGGTTAACTTTTGTATTTTCGCTTCAACTGCATCTATCCGAACGGGCCAGAACATGCTTCGTTAACGTACTAAAAACTAAATTGCATTTAAGTTGCATTTCGAGCTACTTTTGTCCAAATCCCTTATTCGATTTCAAAAGCAATTTTGCATCTAATTAATAGAAAACCATCTTTAGCACACACACTATAATTACGAATCTTTTTTCAAACTGGCTTCGAATAAATTTAACTTATACATACCCATTTGGAATTTGAATAAAGTACATCAAAGCACGGGAACACATACATTTCGATTAAGCTTCATGAATGGTGGTTATCGAAGATAGACATATGAATTATAAATTACCATAATAATTTTATATTATTTTTAAAATAATAATCAGGAAAGTGCAAATCGCAGATCATCTGGGCTTCCCAGAGATGTTGTCATTGTTTTAATTTGATTAAATAGGATCATACATTTCTTAAACGCAACGTTACTTTAAGCTAGGTTGTTCTTCATCTGTTTCATTCTGTTTTCTATGATTACCGTTTTGCTTCTGCACTGCATAGCTGAACTGCTCTTGGTTTTATTTGATACATTATCAAATCAGGTTTTAAAAAGGTTTACTTTGTCTTTGAGATTAGTTATGGCAACACTTGCATGTTTGATTTATTTCATTTTTATAGCGAATTGGATTCATCTCTATATTTTCATCGCATAGCCCTGAAATCGATTGAGAATCGAATCACTCTTCTTCCTTTTAAAGAAATTGTTTTCCTTTTCCATCCTACTGGCACTAGCTAGCCATTGCCATTGTTTGCCATTCGTTACACGTGTGATTTGGATTTTAACTGCTTGCTTCACTTTGTTTCGCGTACAAAATCACAAGTCCAGTGGCTTTTCTAAAACGCCGCAACTCACTCCTTGGATAGAGTCTATGTTTGGTTTTATTATCCTCTCAGTTTTAACTGGTTATAGTTAACATAATTATTCTTGCTTTTGAAGAAGTATTGGTGATGCTTGTCGCAGATAAGAAGACTTTTACACAAATCATTTTACTGGTTCGTTATATGTGGTGTTCATCTTTAAGTAGATGATTCAGACTAATAGTCTCTGAAAGTCATAGATCAAACTTAGTCATTTTTAATGCTCTGGAAAGTTACTTCCTTTTCTTTTTCTTAATTTTGACTGGGACATGTTCGTACATGCATGAATTTATGCTTTTACTAAGTAAAAAACTTTTCTCCTAAAACTAAACTAAATCACCAAATCGCTTGGCATAATACTCAAAAATAATGACATTTAACTCACTAGCTGTAAAAAAAATCCTTTTGTGAACAGTATGCTGTTCATAATCTACACTATCTATTAAACTATGTAAAATTAGGTTTAAATGCCTGCATCGCGCAAACCCCTTATTTTTTATACCATTTTAAACCTATCAGTAGCTTTTACCGCCATTGGTCTAAGCGGTCGTCAGGTTACTACATCCAAAATAAAGAGAATTTAGAACAGAAACAATATGACAAATAAACTGAGTGAAAACAAAAAAAAATAGATTCTCCTACACAATACCATTGCATTTAAAAAGAAAGTGTCTGACATGAATTGGCTAGTTCTCCTTTTCAGTCTTTTGTGCTAAGCTTTACGCTGAATACATCCTAGAGCATTCTGCATTTATTCTCCCTCGTATCTGCGTTCCTTCTTCTTTCTTCCGGGGGCTGCCAGTATGATCCGATAGGACGGCTAATGTAGCTTACCCAGCCTCCTTATATCCTTCATAACGCGTTACACACTAACTTGTACTACGATTTACTCAACCATGTTCGTGTCCTTGTACTATTGAGATTACCTACGTAAATTGCTTCATTGTCTAGTGATAAAAATTTATATAAAAAGTGGATGCTTGCTCAATCGTATCACCACTACACATGTAAAATATTTAACGCAAATAAGTTACGCTTTCTGCACGAGGTAGCAACGTTAATCTTCCGTGTATAATTTGTCTAGTAGATGAAAAACAGATTACTATCAAAACAATGTCGTTCAAAAACGAACAGTAGCAAATCATATAAAAGTAAAACAAAAAGAAACAAAAAACTTTCTCTAGTAAATTTGGATGAAAGTCTTCTGGGGACTGCACTGATCGCGAGCATCCGGAGAGGTTTCAACCATCACCACGAGACGTCCATCGGGCAGCAGTGCCACATCACTGGGGCGATCCTTCTCGTCCATACCAACCGTCAGAAGATTGTTGGACGACGGGCGTATTTCAACCTGAAAGTGTAAAATGTTAGCTACGTATGCTACAGTTTATACAAACAATTTCTCACTTACCGCCCAGAGAAACTCTAGCTGGGGCGAAAAGATTAGTACTCTTTGATTCTTGGAATCAGCCACAATAACCCGTCCATCATCATCGCAAGATATTCCAGACGGGCGACTGAATTCATGTACGGCAGTTCCTTCGTGGCCCTTTGCAGCAAGAACCTATTTTGAATGAAGTTAGTTGTTGTAGTAAGCTATAACAATACAAAATGTCACGAGGGTCCATTTGGGCAAAACTGTTCCTCACGAGCGTTGATATTTGTAGATGTTTTTACAACATAGATGGAGGGCATAATGAGCCCCTTATATGCAACGCATGCATTTATTCAAAGTGCAGATGACGGTGTGGTTTCCGTAAGAGATCTACATGCCGTGGACTTACAAGGACCATTTCAAAGTTTCTTAGATAACTTGTCTTCTTGGGCTAGGAATCGAGGGATCGAATTCTCGCCGCAGAAAATTGAACTGACAATACTAAATGTCACGATTGTCTATTTGGGCAAAACTGTTCCTCCGGATCGTTGATATTTGTAGATGTTTTTACAACATAGAGGGAGGGCATAATGAGCACCTTGTATGCAACGCATGCATTTATATATATTAGGGTCATTTGCCAATCACCATAATTCAATTAAGTGTGGCCCTCACTCTGCAGCACCATCTCGATTTCCATTTGATCTTACAAGGAACATCGACTGGCAGAAATATGCAACGGCGGTGACAATGGATGTCGAATCAATAGATACGCTTCCACCATTAGAAGAATATCGATTCCTCACCGTTTTGATATACCAAAGGTCCCTGGAAGGACATACAAGAAAAGTTCCAAGTGCACCTTTCAAAAGGAGACCAGCCACACCTGGATGGAACAAAGAATGCACAAAATTGTATGTAGACAAATCTGATGCTTTCAAAGTTTTTCGTAGACACAAAACCTCCACATACCTACTTCGAGGAATACTTAAAGCTTGAGACAAAGCTGAAACAATTAGTCAAAGCTAAAAAACGCGGTTATTGGTGCAGTTTCGTCGAGGGACTCTCACGAGAAACCTCAATGACCCTCTTGTGGAGGGTGACTCGCAACATACGTAACCGCTCATCTTCTAATAAGAGTAAAGAATACCCCAACCGATGAATCTCCGGACTCAGTTCTAGCACAACATATTCTTCGAGAAGCGTCTCCGAGCGGCGGCTCTCTGGATAGACCATTCATAATGCTAGAATTCTCTATGGCTCTTCTTTCATCGAACAACTCCTCACCAGGAAGCGATATGATTAAATTCAATTCTCCCAGACATCGCTAAAAGGTGCTTGCTAGACTTATTCATGCATTAGGTAATTGTTGGAGAAAATTATCCTTCAGAGACTCGATCAGTGGGTCGAATCAAATTACTTGCGATCAAATACACAGTTTAGGTTCCGCAAGAGCAAAGGAACAAACGATTGTACAGCGCTGCTTTGATCTTTGTGCACAAGGAGTAATTGACTTCAGTATTCTTGGACATTAAGGGGGCTTTTGATTCAGTTTTCATTGAAATTTATTCAATCTGCACAGATGTGAACTTTCTGGAATTTTTAATAATTTCTTGAAAAATTGTTGTCAGAAAAGCAAATGAAATTTTCCCTTGGACAACTGACAACTTCCAGAATTAGTTCATGGGCCTTGGCAGAACAATGGCACGCTACACACAGAGTTTAGATTACCGGAGTCGGTAAAATTTTACTGGGTTTTCAAACAGCTGAGTTTGCAGTAATCAACTGAGTACTTTTTGATTTAACTGAAAACTCCGTAAATCGCAGAATCTCTGAAATGTAAGAAATTACCGTTATAGTCAGTAGAATAATTGCTGTCTTTTTCAGTAAATTATTTGTTTACATTTTTTTGCTGAGTTTATCAGTATTTTTTTCAGTAGGTATTTTTATGAATAATTCAATAAATTTGTAAATACAATGATTAACTGCTAAATGATTATTTTGGATACATTTTGAACGATTTTTTTTCCGGAACTGAGGTTAACATGTTTAGTGGTGGAGTAGCCGTGATTCTGAACTAGTTCTGGTTGAGCGGTCAGCGCTTCCTGATGATTCAACCGGATTGTGGCTCTCTCGGTGTGCTGGATTGCGTGACGAAGTCTGGAGCTCTATAAGGCAATTGTATTGAATGGTTCTGCTTCAAAATCAAACATCTGGAAGTCGATGCATTAGTGCAGAAACTGCTCAATTTTGTGGCAGTTTCTGCACTTCTGCATCGACTTCCAGATGTTTCATTGATTTTCACAATTGTTTGCTTCTTCACGCGGATATTTCCGTTGTCAAGTCAGCGAGGTAGAACGGAGGAAGATGGCGTAGGGTAAATGTCGGCTTCGGCACCCATTGACTGTTTTCGGCAACCAAAATTTAAACGTTAATTTCACTATGTTTTCCCATCAAAACACTTCCCTGAATGCATCCAAACGATTCTTTAGTCTTTCAGCTTCAATCTGATTGTATGTGTACGTCTGAGCAGTCCTGTTATGGCAGATTTTTATTCAAATGAAGCATACGTACTCTAAAATGGGGTTGATTTCAAGTTGCCGATAATAGAACAGCTGGTTAACACGCAGTTCTAATGGGAAGGTTGCCGAAGAAAACGAGGCTGCCGACAATAGTCACACTCACCTGAGAAGTTTGGAGCGTTGTAAAAACGCTTTCAAACAGTTTTGAAGAAATCTGTCGATTAAAATGGATAGAGAAGCAAGCAGCAGATGAATGGAAACCAACAGACACGTCATATATGTGCGTGACGCTGAGAAAATGCTAATAGAAGTGTGGACACTGCTTAGATTGACGAGAATACGTAAATTCCCCTATATAATTTGTTTTCAGTATTCATTGATTTTTACTGAAATTTACTGAAAATTGCTGATCACACCGATCAGCAATTTTCAGTAAATTTCAGTAAAAATCAATGAATACTGAAAACTCGGTACTCCATTTTACTGAGTTTCATTCAATCACCGTAAAGCTGTTATTTTACGGTAACGGCGCCGGTGGTGTAGTGGTAAGCTTGATAACGCCTTGCTTCGGATGGGAAGTAAAGCCGTTGGTCCCCGGTTCATGTGTTGATGGGTCGATAGGTAGGGTCCAGGTGTGGGAGCTGCCTTCCTGGCACGTCGGTAGCATTGGTGCTCAGCACGGAAAACAAGATCGACGGAAAAAACAAACCAAAGAAATGTTTGCATGTTATTTTACGGTAAATTCAGTACATGCTTTTACCGTATTCAGTAGTTTGTCGCAATAGCTACTGACCATCAGCAGTTTTGTTGAGAATAGCTGAATGATGGGTATTTTTTGTGATTTACAGTTCGAAAACTGTAAAAAAAATACCGAACATGGAACCCGTGATTAAGTGTGTAAGACAACTTGCAGATGACGGTGTGGTTTCCGTAAGAGGTCCACATGCCGTGCAAGTACCTTGAGGTCTGGTTTGATTCAAATAGCACTTTGAATCAGGGTTGCTTCCACTCACTTGTTATAAAAAATCGTTTTTCGGAATTATTAAATCATTATAATGGTAATTAGTACTTGTAAGTTACAAGAAGAGGTCGTGAAGTATGTGATTGTCTCATAATACGTCTGTCAATTTCGCTTTCAAAGCGTCACAATCAGCGATCTTATGATTCGTGAGCGTTCACTCAGAGTGAGCGCTCACAAATCGTCAAATCGCTTATTATAAGCACTAAAAGCAATATTGACAGGTTTTATATGTCAAGGACATACTTCACGACCTCTTTTTGTAACTTACAAGTACTAATTACAATTATAACATCTAATGATTTAATAATTCCGAAAAACATTTTTTTATACCAAGTGAGTGAAAGCAACCCTGCTTGGAATATCCACATTACGTATTTTAAGCAACAATGTCAGCAGAGGATCAACTTACTCTATTGAATTTGAGGCACATGGTGGTGTGCTCATCCGGGAGACCTCATAACTCTTTATAAAATAACTTATGATCTTAATGGATCCACTGGCTTCGGTGTATTCAATAAAAACTGTACCGCCTTCCGCAAACTTCAGGAACCTTGTTCCGTTTTTGTTACTGAGCTGGCAGCAATCAACTTCGGATTAGGGATTTCAAGTGCAAATTTTCATTATGTCGAAAGTAAGATTCGCAATGATCCGAGAAAAATAAAGTTTTGTTTTGATGACCGAAAAGTTATTCCTATTTCCAATTAAACACATATAATCTCACAGCGATAGCAACGTTTAACATATTTAGCAGGATTTTAATTATACAAAGCAGATCGCTAGCTTTCATGCTAAAAATACTGGGTTTTGAGTTATTATACGTCGTTTGGTGGCCCCCTTATGTTACTTAAGTCAAAGTGTATTTACCAGGATAATCTGGAGAATTATCAATCGCGTCTCCTTCGTGCAGCCCATTCATCATTTTAGGACCACGGAAATCATTTTAGCATCAAACAGTTCGATTTATTCACTTTAATAATGATAAAGCGAAACGATGTTACTTAAGACAAACGGCATCTCCATAGAAATCGGGTGACTTAAGTAACATCGAAAAATATTTTGATCGGAAGGTGATTACGTCGAAAAGCAATTTGACTGGTAAATAAATTTAAAAATGGAATGTGATCCTATATTAGTGTTTTAGCAGGAGCATCGATTGACACTGATAGCTCGACTTTGATTGCCTTTGTTACTTTCGACGCAATGACAATTTGCTCTTGATTTCCAACATGCCCGCTGACCATTACCACATTGCTCACACTCGGACATGTTCTGGATACCCTAGGGGAAGTGGACAGAATCTATCTTGAGTCAAATCTCATGATGCGATGTATTGTACAAATTCTTAATTCTTTAGAAACAAGCCTGAAAATATAGCTGTGACGTTATATTAAGTTTATTTAATGAAATCAAAACCTTTTCCTAATGAGGCTGACTTGCGGTTACTTTTCGCTGTGGGACAATTTGACTTGGTATTGTTTTGCAGTTTTCTTGAACAAACCACCTTTACTGAATAGCACAGTCCAAAAAGCATAAAACGATAAACTGAATAATGATGCTAACTCAAAACTATCAACATTCCGCGGGCCGAGTACAAGTACTTTTTCCAAACTCATCGTGAGCCGGTCTGAGCTACAGTGTTAGGTGAGTCCATGGAGTCGTAAAAAAGTGACTCAATTTAAAGGAATAGTGACTTTAGTGACTTTTTGATGAAAAAAGTGACTTTATAGTGACTGACTTGAAAATAGTGTCCAAGTCACTAAAAAGTGACCTGCTACCAGCCCTGCGTGTAAAATTAGTTATTTCTAAGTGTGTAGATTGTGTAAACTTTGCTCGTTTCCTCTCAAAAATCTTCTCGAATAAGATAAAAATCGAGGACAATTTCAATCAGTCTAGTAGTAGGTATACTCGTGGACTGAGCCAAATTTTCCTCAATTTTCCTGATAATCAAGTAGATATTTGAACCTGCGTTTTGTGAAATTGAATAAACGACAAACGGAACTCATATTTGAGTCGGATTTCTCGGACGTTTGGTAGGAAATTTTACGGGATTTTCATGCTTTAACCCTCTCCTTCCCATGGTAGAACAGGTGATCCCTAACTTTTCGGTCCGTCTTTTGTTTGTCAATTAAATAGTCCGTACTTATTTAAACTTCTCCATGTGTTCATTATTCTCGTCCACATGTATTCTTGAGGATTCAACTGAGAACTATTGAAAAAAAAACCATTAGCATACTATTGATTTTCAACAATTAATTTTTATGGATTCGATAATTTTAGGCTGTTTGGAACATCTTTTCTTCTAGCACTTTTTTTTTTCAAACATACATTTATACATCTCAGAACAACCAAAAACCTTCTGGGAAGTACAGGGATAACGCTGTAAGTGTATTACATTACGATTCCCCCGGCTTAAGTACCTTAGTTAACGTTGCATCTATCAGCAGCAAGCGGTGATTTTCAAAGTCCGATATGATAACATCACCTTGAGGTGTGAAGCAAGCTCCACGAGGCGTAGTCAACCCCTTTAAGTAACGGCTGTGGTTGACTCCATCAAAGCTGAAACGGGAAATAAACTGTCCCTCCGAGTTGAACAGCTGGATTCGATGGTTACGCGAATCCGTCACCAATATTTCTCCTTTGACATTGACTGCCACATCCCAAGGGTACTGGAACTGACCACAATCCTTTCCGTAGCTTCCGAATTTCAACAGGAACAATCCATTTGCTGAGAACACCTGCACACGATGGTTGTCCTTGTCAACTACTATGATCCGATTCTGACCATCAGTACAGATTCCGGCAGGAAGATCAAATTGCCCATTTGCTGTTCCTTTAGAGCCGAATTTTAGCTTGAATGTACCGTCAGGGTAAAACACTTGAACCCTATTATTGCGACGATCTGCCACCAGAACATGCCCATCTTTGTCAACAGCAATTCCCCAAGGACGTGAAACTTGACCATCTTCATGGCCATCAAATCCGAAAGTAGTACTTGGTCCAACAGCTGGTTTCGCCGAAACGTGTGAGGCGCATCCAGGAATACATTGCCCTAATACAGGCATTCCTGGAATCGGACCAATCCCGATTGATGTCGGAGATGTCCCGAGTACAGTCTTAGATGATGGGATCTGGTCCCAGGAGGACGATGAACTCACACTCAGTCGTTGGGCTGGGGTAGAACTACGAACTATAGGACGGCGAGTTAGTATGTTTCCACTTGGTGGCTGAATACATACGTTAGAACCATTCGAAAATGAATTGCTTCGTTGACCAACAAGAAGCACGTCACCTTGCATACGGATATCTTGAAGCAGTTCAAAATTTGGCGCTACAAATGTTATGAATTCTTCTTTGGGTTGTAGATTCTTGTACATGGCAGCAAACTGTTCCATCTGGTTTTCACCAGCCGTTAGGGTTTTTGCTATGTCCATATTATTCATGGAAGCTACCGAATCCAAAGCTTTTGTAAGCATGTCTGATGTTTGAGAAAGACCAGCCAAAGCTGCCCTTAAACCTGCCATTTGGTCTGAAAGAGATGTCAATTTTTGTTGCCGAAACTTGTCAACACGTTCCAGCAGAGTACGTTCACGGTCTTCTGCAGCCAATATGAAATGTCGCATTGCCTTTCGAATCCTTGCCGATGCTTCCATGGCATCTCTTTCCACTGCCTGTGAATAAGTCACAGCGCGGTCAATGCTAGCTTTAATGTACTTGGTTCCTAGCTTTCCGCTCTCGATTATTGACATGATTTTATCCGAAGCACCTTGCGATACGTTTACCACCGGGATACATGAATGATCCTTGTGATCCCACAGGGTACATTCCTGGCAGACAATTTTCTTGCATGATTCACACAAATAACGCAGCACTTCACCGTGAACATCACAATGAGGCTGATGTGCCACTGGGACACTTTGTGCACCCGCAGCCGATCCCAGCGGCGAGATCGTGTGTATTGAAATGACACAGTGATCCTTGGCGAAGGTGTTCTTATTGTGCCCATGGGTACAATCCTCACACAGAACATCATTGCAGTCGAGACAACGGCTGATCGCATGAGTATCGCAACGACCGCAAACAGCTCCTAACGAAGACGCGCAGTGTGAGCTTCCGTTGGACGAATTCGTTTGCGGCGAAGTACTCGGTGTCATATGAGTTCCTATTGCACCCAAAATATCATTGGTTGGGGCGCTTCCACTGGAGGTACCTATTGCGCCTAGTACGTTGGAAAATAATACGTCATCGGTAAGGCTCAAACTGTCTCTTTCCAGAGAGGCAGGATTACTGAAACTGGTAGCACTGCTACTGGCGCTGAAAAAAGGTGGAATTTTAATTGATGAGGTTCTTTTAACAAAGTAGCGCACTAACCTCTGCGGTACAGTTACCGGTCCGGAGCTAGCCTTCCCCGGAGAATCCCATCGGGGCAAAGCATTAAATAGATTTGAGAAGAAGATGTGATCGTTTGAGTTGAAGTCAACGTTGCCATCTTTGTTCGGCTGGTTGGAGTTTCCAGACTGTGGTGTTATCTGCATTGACGAAGCACCATTGGATAAAAGTGCCATAGCGGTTCTAAAATGGAAAAGGAATGATACGAATTTATAAATTAGTAAAATATTTATTATTTATGTTTTTTTTCGGATAAACTGTAAACTGAAAAGTTGTTGTCGAACAAATTCGCTCTTAAACAGATATCGTCATAGTTGCAAGTTATGAATTATAGTTGCAAGTTATGAATTTTTCCATTAGAACAGAATAGTTAGTTCATAGATTGTTAATTTAATCCTTTTTACAACTTCAGTTTACTGATTTTTTTTTTCGTTCTAATGAAACTTCCGAGAACTCTGATTGTTTTTCGAGTCAATGTTAAAAAAAATTTAAAAAATCATTATGTTAAAATTTCAACGTTTTAAAAAAATAAAAATTTCAATTCCCACAAAATTCAATTGAAAGTTATGTAATCAGATATCTGTTCAAACTCACAAAATGTAAAACTACTTAAAAATAGCTGAAAATCGGTTTAAACAATGTGGCAGTAATCTAAAAAGGTTCACTTAAAAATCCTTTGCCGGTAAACCTGCATTCCTAATTTAAACATTAAATTTTATTAAAGGTAAAGTAATTTACTATTTAAATTAATAGCTAAATACACACTTAGAAAAAATCATGTAAATTTAGGTGCTCTGAGAGTGACATATACGAGCGTCAATTTTGACATAAATTTGAGTCATAACAGACGCGAAATATAACTCAATCAAACGTACTTTTCGTCGAGCAACGAAATTTTCAGTCTCGGAGCATTTAATATTACATGACATGTTTGTGTACGTCTCATCTGTTACGTCAAAGACGGATTCCGTCACTTGTAAAATTAGTTATTTCTAAGTGTGTAACTCGAAGTTTCTTGATTTACAAAAGAACAAAATTGCAAGAAGGGAGCGGCTGCCAGTCAGTACTATCAGTGGCACTGATGGAAAAGAATAAAACATAATTACAAAAAGTTTAACTGTCCAACATAATTGCTAAACCTTCAAAAAACCAACAAGTTGTGTAGATGAGAGGTAAATAAATTAGTATCAACTAAAATAAATAGTTTTATGACATTTCACTAGTTTTATGACAAAATTTTGTATTTGATTTCATTTAAATTTGATATACCTAGTTCTACAACAATTTGTGAGTGATTTTTTTCAATTTAATGAGTGATTTCAAAATTATTCAATGAATTAGACATATATTTAGTATCTTTCGGAACATTTCGATTGCTTGAAATCATCAGAACTCCTTGATCTCACAACTCTCATAACTTTTGAAATTCCTGAAATTCTAAATTTCAGAAATTCAGAACTACTAAATTTTTTCGATATTCTTCCAGGATTTATTTACAACTTTTTCCACTAGATACTTAGAATTGCCAAACTTATCGGAACTGTTTAAGCTCACAGCTCAGAATTCCGTGAAATTTAGAAAATTTGAGATAGGAATTCGAATCTTTAGGTACCCCCAATACTTTTACTGAATAATATGATAAAATGTGTCTTTTTTTTAACCTATAACCGGGTTTTGGTCATTCACCCCTAAAATAATGTGTCTAAAACATTATTAAAAAAATATGTACCATAAAGTCGAAGTCTAATTAATAAATAAACATCGAGCACAAAAGATGTACAACTTGACAAAGATTGACTGGTTGCTACTCCATGATTGATCAGAATCCGTGTAATTGCACAATGAATCAACTGAATGGATTTTGCAGTTACCGTCGATTCTCAAGGGCCACGCACATTAAATCCGTTTGCGTTGAGTTGACATACACCACATACATACACAGAAGTTGGCATTATCATCGAAGTTGGTTGCACGTTTTTTATACAACATTGCTGATTTATGCGATATCGTGCTTATATGAAATATCGTGTAAACTTACGCCAAATATAGCGTTACACACTAATCCAGCATTTAGTTGTTCGGTATTTTTTTGTACTGGGCTTACACGGTAAAACGAAAGATTTACTGAACATTCAGTTTAAATCAGGTGAATAACCGACGTTTTGCAAAACACAAACTGAACTTCGGTATCGTTTGATGCAAAATACTGAACACAGAATATTTATTTACTGAGAAAGTCGTTAATTTCCAAATTTTAGTGATTTCACGAAAAGTCAGCAAAAATAATTACTGTACCCAAAGTAGTCTTTATTTTTTTACCGACTGGTCAGCAAAATAGCCACCTTGTTTTACCGACCACGAATTGTAAAACTCTAACCTGTCAATTTTATTCCCGCCGCCATTTTAGCTTCAGTAAAATCCGGGAGCAAGTGTTTAATCGCGCGGTTTTGTTAAAATTTGAATTATATCATGACGGAACTGAGAAAGCTCGACAGCGAAATTGAAGAACTATTTCGTTAGTACCAACACGTTACTCTCTTTGCAGTTCCTTGGTATCCAACAAATTTTGATTAAGAAAATGGATGTTTGCATTGTTTGCTTTCACTGTCGACGCGCTATTCCGGGGTACGTCAAGGGATTAAGTCGTCATATTAATTGGCATATTATAAACGGTGAATTGCACCAGGATTCATGCTTTTATGACTGCCAATTCACTACTTTTAATATACCTGGGTAACACGGTATAATAATGGACCAAATAACTGTCTTTTCAGTTAAATTGCAGCAAAATAAACAAAAAGAAAATACTGGGTTTTCCAGTATACGCAACTCGAACCAATTACTGAATGAACAGTTATTTTTGACAGATTGACTTTACGGACAGTTCGGTAATGCAAATTATTTCTGTGATGACTACTGGGCGATCCGCAATTAACAAAAACCCAGTACAATTTTACTGACTCCAGTAATCTAAAGTTAGTGTGTAATAATGTGTACGCTAGATATCGCAGAATTTAACCCATTTTATAATTACTCGATAAACAACTAGGGTAGGTGTTCCAGTAATAGTGGTGTACCGATAGTTGCGGTATGGAGCCGGAATAGTGAGGAGGACCCGGATATGATTATTTGTCATCGATAGCTCTCCTAAAATAAAGCATATTTGCATATTTCAATCTTAAAATTTGCCCAAAAGTAACGTCAAATAATTATTTTTCTTTAAGATTTTCAGTCCTTCGCACTATAGTTGCGGTAGTGTTCCTATAATAGTGGAACCCATAAGAAACCAACGCATTCCACTATTATAGGAACCAAAGTTAGTAACTACCACAACTACTGGAACAGTGTTCCTATTAATGGAGGACGAGTTTTCTAAAACTGTATGCAATTATATTACAAAGTAATATTTTTCTATCAAAATAGAGGTTGAAAGCTATAAATTTACGTATAACGATTGTGTGTACATCTTATATTTATTGTTTTATTAATAAATTGGGTAAGTACCTCCACTACTGGCTCACCCACCCTAATCGATTATTTTTTGTTTGCTGTGCTGTCATTTTTCCACCAATGAGAGCGCAGCACATGTTTGAAACGATTGCTGATGATCTTCTGGAGAAGTTAAAGCTTATATCGGCATGATATAACCGATTAAAAATATTTTACTTTTCGGTTCGTTAATTGATTAATCGATTATTCGAATGAAAATTGGCCATAACTAGATGAATGTGAAACGTCATTTCAAATATAAGGGCCGTACATAAATAATGGTACAATTTGAAACGGACCGGGCTTATCACAAATTACGTCCCCACGGTACCTGAAATAAACACGAATGCCTTTCAGTGTACAAGCTTCCTGAACTCCATATTGTACTTGCAATCAGTTTTAAATAAGAAAGGAATATTATAGAGAACTTTGTAGTTTTGGGGTCCGTGTTACCTCTGCGTCCCCACTAAGGTCATAGGGGAGGAGATTTTGTGAGTATGTTAGGTTTGGTTAGGTTAGGATCAGGGTAAGTGTTGTGATCATAGTACTGATGTAATAGATTGTTTTCCGAAATTCACACGAATATGACTATGGCTGGTAGGCAAATGATGTGCCCCTATGAACTCAGTAATGCCAAGGGGCCTGGAATAAAACCCACCATCTCTTCCTCTCAGAAAGCAAAAACGTTTGCCTCTAGGCCACCGAACCTCTTGTGTTGCATCAAACCATGATGTCCTCTGTTAAGCATACGTCATATTTTACCAAGAAAACAATTTTTCTGCACTATTTCGACCATGTTCTACACTAGCTACTGTCTTTGTTCCGGTGATGACGACGACGACTGTCACGCAATATGAAACGTCATTTAGACAACAGGATCGAGCATTACGGCACAAATAGCGCAATTTTATTCGCTGATCCTCCGCGGCCATGCGCTACTCCTCCGCCTCGATATGACCTGACCAAGGCTCCCGAAAACTAACGTAACGGTATGTCTCAAATGTTATTGGATGACATACAGTACCGGACATAATTATATAAAGGGTGATACGGTCAAAATTTGGTCAATATCAACTTGACGTATTTCTTTCAATTTTGCATTTAAAAAACCTGAACACCCCTCATTTTGAAGGTGTGTGTGTGTAGAATGTTGCTCCTATTTTGATTTTGGAATTCATTCTTCAGTTGTCAAAATGCCGTCCAAGCAAGAAGAGCAGCGTATCAAAATTTTGCTCGCGCATCGCGAAAATCCGAGCTACTCGCACGCAGAGCTCCGCCCAATTGAGAAATACTGGGCTATTGTCAAGCGGAACCTAAAGAAGACCAAAAAACTGCTAAGGGCGAGCAGCAGTTCAAGGCAAACTGGCTTTCTGCGGCGAAGAAGGTGGACAAGGTGGCTGTACAAAATCTGATGGCAGGGGTCAAGCGTAAGGCCCGGCAATTCGGATTTGGAAAAGCGGAAGCCTAACTGAATATTTTTCCTGAATTTTATACTAATTGAACTTGAAAAAGAAATTTAATTTGATTTTTTTAAATAAACGATTTCACCGATTTACACGCGTTTTCCCTTGACCAAATTTTGACCGTATCACCCTTTAACATTGTAATTTTGACTCCTCTTCAAACAAGATAAAAGAGCCATAGCTGCTCCGCATGTCATTAAATATTCTGAAATCTGATCAAGTTGATCAAGT